TCATTATCCTAACGAAGCAAGTTTTGACTCAGAATGTTGTGTCTGAGTGTGGCGCATAATGCAATCGGAAATGAGAACAAAGTCAAATAACTCCCCGAAAGCAGCAAAACGCGGTGGCAGGGCGCACAAACAGAGAAGCCCGCCCATCGTCTGCCTTAACAATAGCAGAAAGGACGTTGTCGCCAATAACAAACGATCCAATCCGCAAGTACGTTAATTTAAGGCAAATAATAAAATGCCCACACGTGAGAGCCTATGTTCCTCTGAACGGTGACGGCAACGGCCGGACAGAATAAAAACGGATTGACGAAAAAAGTGACCCCGGTACTATGCAGATTTTTAAAAGCTCTAAAACCCATGTGTTGTAGCTGTCGAGCCAACCTAACCACGATTGGTATACAGAAAGATGAACTATGGTACATAACACGACCTTAGACAGTAGCGTACAGCAGACCAAGTCCTTTAAAGAACTGCGTACGAAAAGATGACGACAAAGGAGCACGTGCAATAAGACACTGAGATATGCAGGGACTGGGGAGATGACTGCAATCATATTCAGGAAACATATGTCAAGATCTAATCGGATCGCGCATAAATCAAACCCCTGTGGAGTTTCAAATTCGGAATTACGGGTATATTTGGTACTTCAGTCGAGTACAGCCGGATGTACACAATGTGCCCGACTAATTGGACCAACTTGTCTCGCCGGACATATAATTAAAAATAGCAGCCAGGGTTGTCTCTGGTGATTCTTAAAGAACATATTGTCTTGCATTTTATCTGGGACGCACTGATCGGTCACACGTAGTCGTCTGCGGCAAGGTAACTAAAGTACATTTAGTGTTGCCTAAGATTCTATATCGATACCGTGCGAATCATGGACAACCGAACACCATTCGTAGGCAAGAGGCGGAACTGCCGTAGTGGAGTCGACAGCACTCTCATATCTAAACTAAGCAGACAGGTCGGCGATGAACTGTTGCGCCCGATGAAGTCGAGGGTGGCACACACTGTTGAAAAGGTTACCTGGAATGACCCTTCGGTCAGGCAAAAAATAGACAGAATTCTTAGGCACCACACCAAGCAGCCGTATGTGGATCTAGTAAGAAAGAGGGTTTGAGACGCGTAAGATCTAATGTTATGCAAATAGAAGTATAGAAACGTAAAAGTGAGGTATAATGATACAGGGAAAAATGAGGTACAGTACAAATTCCCCATATGGGGTGGGAGGTGGTCCCATTATATCAGTTAGAAAGAGGTGGGGATTGCAGCGCTGTCGGCAACTATGGGGAAGGGTCATTAAGCGTGGTAACGGCAGAGGGTACGAACGACGAGCGAGAAGTGATGTCAGCGGTAGGGAAAGAAGAAACACTGACCATCTTTGTTGACACGCGATCACGCCATTCTTATCCGAGATCGGCGCTAATGGCAACTCCAGCCTACTAAATAAGGGTGATATAGAACAGCCTGTAACGCCCCTTGGCATGAACAGGATTGTTTGAACGTTGTAACACTTTTGGCGCGGACCTGGGATGGAGATGGTGCAACTCCGCGCTGGTGAAGACGGCCGGTGTCCATCCCTCTCGCTATCGCCGACACTATCCTTCCCGCAACGTACCGTCGCTCTCGTCTCTTCCCAACTCAACGTCGGCCCCCTCCCTCGGCACTTCCCTGCAGTGGCCCACAGCGCTGCATCCCCACCGGCTGTTTAGCTAGTATGGCAGGGTCACCTATCCATCCAGACTGGTCACTTATTTGTAGTTTCTCATTCCACATTTACACTAACGTTTATTATACACATTCTCCGTATCCGTGTCGTTCTATTATACTATATCCCATACTTGACGCGTCAAGTACGCGTACTTCCTTCTCCTACGTGTGAACGAGTTAACAGTTTTGTTGAACTCATTCACACGTAGGAGAAGGAAGTACGTCAAGTATGGGATATAGTATAATTGAACGAAACGGATAAGGAGAATGTGTATAATAAACATTCAAACAATCCTGTCCATGCCAAGGGGCGTGACAAGCCTAACCCGCTCGCGATAGAAATCCTATAGGGTCGCCGGTGCCTACACGCTCCCTATTGGTCCTCGACACCTGTTCAGTGATAAGTTTGTTTTTCCTAGCATGGTTTGAGAATATTCCCGGTTCACAGCAACGACGCTGGCTGTTGTAATTACAATACTGGTGAATTCCCACAGATTTCTAGCAGGGTTAGCACTGAGACTGCTGCGAGGGTTAACACTTGAATTAATGGTTATGGACAGGGGTGGGGTTAAAATTATGGGTAGTGTTAGTTTTGGGGAGTTTGGATGGAGTTAAGTTCGTGGTAAATTTTACCGTTAGAATTGGTGTAGTGGTTTGGTTAAGGGATAGAGTTAGGATTGGGGCCAGGAAAGGATGAGGTGACTGGTCAGTTATTCAGATGACGGGAACTTGGTAAACAGAGTTTATTATGACTACCGAGATGCAATTCCTGTTATCAAATGAATGATAATCTTAGTCTTTTTACAGCCCTTTTCTCTATTTTTGTATTCCCCTCATTGATTTTTCTCTTCTGATTTGCTTCTTCGTACTGCTCCCGTAAATTTCTTCGATGTTTGGGCTATACATCCTTCCCATTCGGTTTTGCTATACTCGCTATAGGCGGCTTAGCCCATCTCAAAGTGTAGTGGCTGACGCGTAAAGGTTGGCACACACACACAGATAGGTAAACATCTGCGGTTGTTTTCAGTCCGCTAGAATACTGAACAGAGTTGATATGTACCACGCTAAATACACATATGCAGAGGTCATAGTAAAAATTAGTAAAATGTATGTTAGCTATACTAATGACAATAACTGTGTAAATACATAATAAGGGTACAGTGAAAAATATGAAGATGCGTCACATGTACAGCAGTACCATCTGGAATGGGGAACGTTCTGTCGTGTCCTTTAGATCACCGCTGTGGAGTGCAATGCTGGGCGAAACTGCAGGGGCCGGAGGTTGGAGTCCTGTTACTGAGTGAGGGAAAGCGAGACTATCTGCGGGGGCTCAACTGTTGAGAGTGGAAGGGGCACCAACATTGTCATCAACACTCAAGCACACCATCCTCAGCCTGTGTTTTCGCCTATGCGAAGTCCCTCGCTCTACTTAAAGAAATCACTCAGTTGTTTGGGACGGTACATCAGTCCACACGCGCAGCTACCTACGGCCATTCAACAAGACATACTAAAACGCTTTATATTAGAGGTAGCAGAATATCACATGTCCATTAAGAAGAAACTGCGGCACATCTATTTGCACGTACATTGTAATGTCATAGGCATATATTTTACAAATAAGTCTTCATTTACCAACAGAACACAACAAAAGGAGACTTAGGTGTGTGGAAGTTGACGATCAAGCAAACTACAGTGGGTAAATACGTGGCATAAGTCACAACGCTTCAATCACAAGATAACGATGGGAGATAGTAAGCAGGAAATGGGACTATGAGCGAAACAAAGCCCGACGAGACATGAGAATAACTGCGAAAACTGACATGCTCCAACGAAATATGTCATATGAGATAAGTGGGGTTTTGCCAAAAGGGATAAATAAGTAAATGAATAATTATTTATGCAATACCCTCGGGAGCCCTGCCATAGCAATTATGAAATAACTTATATATGAATTATAGAACAGGTAGACGGAATCCATACAATACTTAGTTCATACATATTGAATAAGTAGTCC